AAGAGACTTCAATTCCTTAGACTGATCAAGCGTCCAAAAGTATGCAACACAAGTCTAAAAGCAATCAGAACTAACCTTGCATTGCTGATTTAGCTAAACAAACAGATCTCAAAAGTTGGAAGGCTTCATTTCTTCACTTACAAAGGATACACATTCTGGAAATTTCGGGTCTCATTTATATATTTACGCATTAATAATTCATGGAAAAATGCAGAAGGAAAAAGAAAATAAAACACAAATGCTTTATTCCTGAGAATGGTTGCTTCTTTCTCTAGTGCTATTTTTTTTAAAAAAACTGCATATACAGGAGGCTGAGGTAAGAGAATTGCCTGAACCCAGGAGGCGGAGGTTGCGGTGAGCCGAGATCATGCCATTGCACTCCAGCCTGGGTAACAAGAGCGTAACTCCGTCTCAAAACAAAATAAAACAAAACAAAAACCTGCATATAGTGTGATTGTGAAGTATTTTTTGAATATACCCCGTGACAAACTTTACCCCAAAAACTAAATGAAGTAGAGGCATAACAAAGTACAGGTAGAATTCTTCATAAGAAAAGCATGAAATGGTATAATCATAATTTATTCTTAGATATTTAGTTCTTTCTAAGCAGAGTGTTAGAAGTCAGGGAGATCTGGATATAAAACACAACCCTAAAATTTATAGCTACATGATCTTAGGCAAGTTAAATAACCTGCTTAAGACAGTTTTTTTTATTTGCAAAATGGAGATGATAATACCTACATCATAGGATTGCTATGAAGATTAAATGTGGTAACACATGTAAAGGTCTTGGTACTTGATTTGCAAAGTTCAATAAATAATAATCTCTTTCCTCTCATCCACTCCTATGATGATTTCCTGTTAACTCCAAAAGCCTACATATTTTCAACCTAATAAGATAATTTAATTAGCTGTCTTGTTCAGATTTTCACCACTGCTTTTATGCCTCAAACTTTATGGAAGAAAGTTTCACTTTCTTATAAATAAAATGCCTTAACTTTTCATATTACACAGGTCATCTTACTATTTACTTTTTCAAACACAAAAAGGTAAATTTTATCTTTGTGTTTACCCTTTCAAACGCAAAACAATGACAACAACAATAACCACAAAAATACTCACCTCCTAACACCTCATAAATGTCCAATGTCTGTCATAGATCCTCAGCATGCTCAGTTCTTCTTTAGAGGCCTGTAGTCCACGTCTGTATTTCTTACTTTTGTGACTTATCCATCACAGCTTGGCTTTTATCCTCTGCTGCTGAGGCAGAAATGTCAAAAGGAGTCCATAGCCTTGGGTAAAATAGATTTAATTAGAAGAATGGCAAACCTCTGATGAGAACTTGATAAATCGACCACTGAAACACCGTTTACCCATTTAAAGTTCAGTATTATAGTTAGGACAGAAAGATATTTGGATCTCAAAGGCTGAGATAATTGCGCTAATTATTCAATAATTGTATTTATTCCAGATGTAGCACTTTTTTTTTTTTT